AGCGAGATCTGATGTTCTTACTAAGGAGCTGGAGAAGAAAAATAACAAGATTTTAAATCTCCAGAAAAAATTAAATCATTGTATTGATGTCAAAAATCAATATGACTTGATTAATAAACAACTTAAAGAAGAAATCAAACAATTGGAAAGCAAAAATACTAATCTTACGGAGTATAAAATCAAGTATCATAATAAACTGGAAGAAGCGAATATATTGGAAGGTAAGTTAGCTTCAGCCCAAAAAAATTCATCGAAAAAAAAATCTGAGATACTGTCCTTTGAATCTAAAATAGCTGAAGTGGAACGGGAGTTAGCTTCAACAGTTAGTGAGCTGGAGTGTCTGAAATCTGAGGATATATCAGAAGGATCAGTGATTCGAGGCTATGCCTCATCTATTGTTGATGGGGATAATGAAAAAAATACACATAGCGAGGAACAAATCTCCCTATCAAATTCTAGTAGGGGTTCAACCCCATGCCACAGTCTCAGGCCATATCTAGTACGCAAAAAAAGTACGGATCAAGTGACACATAGTGCCGAATCTCTGATTTCTGAAAAAATTGATAATAGTGCACTGGTTCATACTAATAATCCTATACCCGAGTTACCAAAAGTCGACACTGAGACTAGTTCCAAGATATGTAATGGAACCAATATATCACAGATTATATCCAAAAATGTGACTCTGCACCTTGCACAGCAAGAGAATAATACTCCATCTTTGATTGAATCACATCCTCAAATTCCAATAGGAGGAGTGGGTGCAATGAGACCTAGTCTCGAGGCTTTGCCTTTCCCCATTGTGGCATATATCTTTCCTACCTTATTAATTATTATGGTTATACGGTTCGTGATATTGAGACGCACATGGGGCATAGGTAAAAAAAGTGAGTGGTTGCGGGATATGTGGATCGGATAACCAAGACTATCTATTTGAACTTGAATATTATTTATGTACGAAAAATATAATAGTTTTTAATCATGCCTAGTATTTGTTGTAGTTGTAAGGAAATATCATCGCCGTTGTATACAGATTGCATTGTTACACACTCCTTTATAGTAGTAGGGATGAGATTTCGTGGCAGCCATAAATTTAAGAAATCTGATATCATCACTTTCGAACCAGAGCCTTTTAATACATATGATAAGAATGCGATAAAAGTTATGATAGATGGCATTCATAAAGCATATGTGACAAAGAATGAGAATGTAAGTATAGGAGATTTGATGGAAAAATATCCAAATTACCGGATCGCTGCTCATGGGAAAAAAACTATAATCAATCGGCATCTTTGAATCTTGAATATCCTTGGATGGTCTGTGGGGGATGTCACGATACGTTGCAAGCATCGAGGGACTATAACTATAGTTATTGGTGAATTTATTTATTTGAACTTGGATATTATTTATGTACAAAAAAAATATCTTAACATTTATAATGTATAAGTATCTTAGTGGAGTCTGATAATTCTAATCAAGAATACTTAACAATATAGGTCAATGATTTCATCGATGTTGGGTGAATCATCTTTTTTACTTTTCTGCATAATTGATAGTACTTGAAGACGTGCAAACTCAAGACTAATTACCTTGTACCATGTATTTCGGAAATCTATTAATGCTTCACACTCTGATTTCAGATTATATCGAAATATATATTGTTCCAAAATTGTAATATCAGGTTTACATTTCTGTACCTGCATAATTAACTCGTATAACCCATTTCTATATTCTACATTGAGCTTAGATAATTTTGAAAGTAGATCTGATAACTTTAAACGAATAGAATCTGCAATTTTATCTAACGCATGAAGGTAGTCATTATGCCTCGTAGAGGTGCCTGAAGGCTTGGTTATATCAGCTTTGCTAATACTGGGATATATTTTTTAAGCGTGGGTAGTAGCATCTTTTCATAAATGGGATATAATGGTTTCATCTTTTTTCGGAGTATCTCACAAATCTTTGATATATTTTTTTATTCATTTCTCGGCTGATTTCTGTGCCAAGACATCCTTTGCTGTTCAGAGTTCATTCGAATTTGTAATATTTTTCAAGGATTCAGAATCGGGTTGTGGTTCAAAACATTTACTATTATTTATAAACCAGGCACAAAGACTAACTATGCTTTTTAGATAATAATTGATATCTATTTTTTTGTTAAGTTTTTTTACCACATTAGGATATTCCATACAATCTCCCACTTTCTCTGATACCCCCTCTACTACTATATATTCAAAACGCTCCCTAGGTTCTGGGATATTATATATATATGAATTGGGTGATAGTCCCTGTTTTATAAGCTGTTGGGACTCTATTATCTCGCGAGCGTGTTTAGATTTCATTCGAGAGATAAAACATTGAACACTTTTATTATTTTTATCAGGCTTCCATGTGGATGTTTTTACACATTCATTTATATCGACTTGGGATAAGTCATCTACAGTACTTTTAAGAGCGTCTTCGACAATTTGTTGCATTATTCTATTATTATTAATTTCCATGGATTGTTGCATAATGTTTCTACCTACTTTGCGGATAAACTTAGATTGCCCCCATTTCACAATATCAACATCCCTAATAAAAAGCTTTTCAAAATCTAGGTCAAAGTTAGGTTCTTTTATATGTTGAATACCATAATATTTTTTCTTACCTGTAAATACTACGGGAAATAAGACTTCCTCATATGTCATCTTAAGATAAGTTGATCCATTATCTTTCCTGAGAAAATCATTAACATCATTTCGGAGTTCGCTCATTACCTTCATAGATGTTCTCACCATCTCCTCCCAGTATTTTTCCTTTGATATCTTTTCTGAAATGTATTTCTTATCACACTTCCGAAAATATTCTTCTGAACAAACAAGATATAATGAATCGGTATCCCCGTATTTTACGCCAAACCCTTTACTTCTGACAAGGTCAGCAATAAGCTTGATATTTCACCGACCAGCTGATGTTACTTCACCTGCTAGTTCTCGCAAGAAGAAAAGGGATCTACTACTGCCAGCTTCACCGTAAAACGTGTTCATATACACTTTTAAAGCAAGCTGTTTTGCGTCTAGACAAGCAACATTAAAGGCTATTGAAGAGTATTCAGAGTTTAAAGCATCTGTAACATCCATACCTCTTGCTTTCACCAAACTAATCTCCTTTTCTAATTCTACTTTTTTATCCTTTAATGGACCAAGACATTCTTTTAGCGAATTTCGTCTAATAAGCAACTCTTCTAATACTTTCGGATAAAGACCTTTCATTTCGGCTTGATTTCCATGCTCTATAGACCATGCAAGAACATCCCGACCATTGAATCTGAAGTTAATTTCATGAAGCATTTTACCGCTTCCCTTTAGAGATTTGGCATGATTTCGAGATAAAATTATTTTATCAAGTGAGAGATTGTATGTCATGATAAGACTTGGGTACAATGATGCAAAGTCTAAGCCGGTTACAGGACGTCTATTTTCGAGA